CTATTTTTGCACGTGTATCACACAGGTATATGGGGTGAATTGTCATCCTTTTGAGACCGGATTCGTTGAGTTGGTAAACTGTGCCACGTGTGTCAATCGTGCACATGGTGCATGTGTTCGATATCGAACAAGTAGTAGGGAATGGAAATGTCCTCTATGTTGGATGGACAAACTACCTACTGAGGTTCGATTCGAGGCTGCCCGTACGGACGACCCTGAATACGACGAGAAATACCGACGAGCGGAGGTCTGGACGGATAAAATCCTATTGGCTAAGCTGGCTGGGTTACCCTTGGATCATCTCATTAAGCACGACAGACGTCGGGCTACTGAGAGATCTCGGGATTACCGATGGATCGACGGTCACCTAGAAAAGCGTAAAACTGACGGATCGGGACTATGGTTGACGGTTCCCCATCCTTTTCAAAGATATGACTGGACTCGGTCCGCACACGAGGAACATACCGCTCATTTTGCGATACGTGTCACCAAGGCAACCATCAATCAAAATCGATGGTTCTGGTTTAATATACGCGATGATGTGAAGCACGTGGTCGCTAATTGTCTAGTCTGTGCTGCCGACCGCGCGCCCCTTCGAGGGCCGAATACGATAGTTCCAATGGAGGTAGAACGACCCTTTCAGCGGGTCAGTATGGATACGACTGACATAGACGTGCCACCTGGCCCCAACCGTTGCGAATATTTCATCCTCTTGGTATTGATCGATCATTTATCGAAGTATATCAAAGTCTACCCGTGTAGAACCCGAAAGGTCGCAGAAATAGCCACGTACATCGATCGGTTTCTCTATACTCACCTAGATACAGAAGAAGTTCTAATCGTCAATGGGTCCGAGTTCAAGGGTGAGGTAGACGAAATACTCGCACGAAGAGGCATTACGCTTCGACATACGGCACCCCACGTTTCCCAGTCCAACGGGTTGGCCGAAAATGACAATTGCATGATTAAGACTGCCCTCCGAAGAAATCTAGCGGCGCGTGACACGCGTCCCTGGCCCGAGATCGTATATCAGATCGTCGGAATTCACCGGGCCACCCCCCATGAATCCACGGGTTTCACCCCCTTTCAGCTTCGAACCAATAGCCTCTCATGTGTCGATTACCGGGGCAACTCGAAAATTGCCGAAGAAAGGGGGTAGAGACACGCGTGCCGCTCTTAAGGCCAAGGCCAAAAGGTATGCCGATTTAATGGAGAGGGCCGTACGCAAATTGGCCCGGAAGTGACAGAAAATGACTGAACTGGCCCACGGTAGACAGGTCCGTAGCTACGAGGCTCGGAATGGAAATACGGGCCCACAGCACCAATATAAGTTAGGGGACCTGGTGCAAGTACGCAAATGTGCACGCGACCGTAAACTCGCTCCCAAGTTTTCTGGCTGTTTCCGCGTCGTCGAACTCGGTCCCAACGGTGCCAACACGGTGCGCATCGCGCCCGAGGCAAGCGCCAGCCATAACTCCGTCCCCATCGTCCGCCATACTCCTTACACAAGGACCACCGTTGATGATAAAAAAAGATGCTGCTCCCACGGCCCCTGACAATTGAGAGTCCCGAGAGTGAAATGAAGCGATGAGGGTCCCATGGGTACCCACAAGATCTCAACCGAGTTCTCTGTGAGAGGGGCCAACACCTCCACTAAAATACCAACCAACCCCAACTGTTGCTATAGGACAGTTGCCTTCTACCGGTAGCACCTCCATTGTGTAGTCGACCCAGCGGGGTCCCAGTTCTTTTTTCAACCGTCAAACTCATTACATATGCTGGAAACTGGGCCCAGCATCCCTCACAAAGGCCCTGAAACCAACACCGGCGGCCATGCCCCACTTCTCGAGGTTTTGTTCTGGTTTCGAGTGTACATGGCTCCTCTGGTTTCGAGTGTACATGGCTCCTTGCCATCTGATCTGAAAATCTCACGGCCCTAGTGTGACTACGTTGGAAAATACACGAAACATAAACTAAACCCCCGCTAGTGGGTCACGGCCCCGGTGAACTACGTGATCAAGTCACACTACCAGCAGGACTTGGCCTCAGGCAGTGGGACGCCGCCCTGAAGTCACCCCCAGCTTCAATGTCAATGTGCAACTGGGGGCAAGGACCCCCACCCCCTTGCCCCCGGGGCCATGTCCCACTTGTCGAGGTTTAGTTCTGGTTCTGAGTATACATGGCTCCCTGCCATCCGATCTGAATATCTCACGGCCACACTGTGACCACGTTGGAAAATGCACGAAACATAAACTAGCCCCCTGCTCGTGGGACATGGCCCCTATACTTCCATTCTGGCCGTCGATCTTCGTAATCCATGGCCAGAAACGGGGAATCCAGATAAGTGGGGTTGACGCCCAAGACACCCCCCCATACCCCTGAAACTACTACCGGTAGACTTGGGGCAGGCGGAATTCTCTACCTACGTATGTCTATCATCATTCATCATTCATTATCATTTCGTTTCGGTAGTACTGGGCGCTGTGGGCGGTAAGTTCTGAGAACGAATCACGTTAGCACTGTCGTTGGTGGGGCGAATCATGTGACTGCAAGCCTCGCTGGTTCCTGCAAGGCGCGCCAAGCTTGGTGATCACATTCGCGATCGCCTTCGTCCGTAGAAGATCGCCATCCATCGGTGCGGCTGAGCACACAGCGGGCCAATGCGGAGGTCTCTCCTTTTTTTTTTTTTTTTGGGGCCATTTCTCGATTTATGCGTGTCATTTTCCACTTTTTTCTGCTGCCTTTTCCGCGATTGCATGCAGTTTTCTTCCCGCCGGTGACCGCTAGAGGGGGCCCCACTGCCGGTAGCCAAGAGGATTACATTAGGTTTATGAATCTGAACGTGTTTTACACAGAGATGCGTAACCGAGTTTCACTCGCGAGTTTCTGTACTTTTCCACGAGCAAGTCCACATTCAGGCCAATCGTCTTGCTACCGGTACTGGGACCCATAGCTCCGGGGAACCTCCTTGTCAGCAGAGAACTGCGTCCGTCTTCCCCCGAACATAACCCACCCTGAAAATGAACGTATACAAAGTAGGTTCCCGGCCCGATACAGTCAAAATGAGAGTGCGTTGTCTTCGGGGTAAGAGGGTAGCCCGTGACCGAACCACGGGAACCGACAGCGACGAGGTCTAGTCGCGGGAACAAACTCTAACAGCCTTTGTTCCCTTTTTTTTTTTTTTTTTTTTTTTCTCCCCTAGCCATAAGTTGTTTGTGGAGATCAACGGCCAACGGCCAAGCTCAGTAATGTGTGGTTGTGTGGAACCCCACCCTCGGAAAGGGCGCCGAAGAACAATTGTTTATTTTTTTTTTTTTTTTTTTTTCGTTTGTTTTTACAGCCATAACTTGTCGAGCACAACCATCAGGAGCAATTACCACCAGGGCCGAGGTCCCACTAGCAAAGAGGATAGGATTGAATGCCTGAATCTGGATGTGGTTTATTACACGGGTCTATTCCAGATAAATTAAGAAAATGATAGTCCCTAGATGATGCCAGATTGCACAGAAGTGAGTCAGGGAAGTGGGCCGCAGGGAAAATGGAGGGCAGGGGGACGGCTTCACCAAATCAAGGCAAGGGAACCTGTGAAGGACCTGACCCTTGTGTGGCATGCGCGCAGGTTTGCGTTCGAGATGAGTGCTGCGAGCAATCGGGCCCTGGAAGGCGCAAGTCGGGAGAGCACACAAGCTATCGTTGCTGGCCAGGCGCCTGTGACATATATATTGTCACAGGTCAAAGCAGTGGGACGGGACGGGCCAGTGAGGCCTGGGTATGTTGTCACATCGAACCTGGATAACCGTAGATGCTGCATGGTTGCTTGCCTGTCGTGGATGGACATTCCGCAGTAATTGTGGGCCTTAGATTTTGTAGATCTATGCTCTGCGATTAGAAGTCCCAAATGACAACGCCTTGGCACCAAATCCCAACCGCTGTTTTTGTTTCTTCCGTTGATGTAGGCCGAGGGTTGTTGCATATTGAATCCGGTTCGTCTGTCTTGTGCGCAACTGGGTGCACGGTTGCTGGAATAATGCGCAGAGATGCAGAAAAAACAGTTCAATCTCGATTTCCTGCACCTCTCTACAAACACGCCAGATGCAGGCATTCGATCCAATCCTCTTTGCTAGTGGGACCACGCCCCAGTAGTTAATAGATCAATTAATAGATGGTGTATGATAGCAAACGCGGGAGCGGAAAAGGTCGACGAAAAGGAGGAGAGAACCCAGAAGGTACATGATGAGGCCAATGGGGATTGAACACACGACCTCTTGACTGCCACTTGCAAGCCTTACCAACTGAGTTAGGCCGCTGGGTGCACCTTCCTGGGCATGCTTGGCGCCCGCCACCTAGAGATAGACCACGGGATCCCCCGATCCGGGGCATTGATCAGAGTCTGCTGATGTTCCTAGGGGGGGGGGGGGATCACCACCTGAGGGGAGGCACAGGGATTGGTCCTTTTGGCATGGTCCCTGATGCTACCGGCTGTCCCCTAGCCCACCTGCAGGCAGGTCGGGAGCAGCCCCCGGGTTCCCCGTATGACTACAATTAGTAGTGGTAGGTAGGTAGTGTGAGGTGAAATTGAGAGAAGAATATAGCTTTAGAAAGACAAAAAAAGAAGAAAGAACCCACCCCATGTGGCTGAATGGTATGCACATACATGTAACTGGTGCTCCAGGGGGGGGAGGGAGGAAGGGGGAGGGGTTGTCCTCCTACTCATCCTCTGAGGGGAGCGGTTGCGACCACGCTGGTGATTACGAATATCAGCGGGTGTAGGACGTTTTGGAAATGAATTGGTTGGGACCATGGTTGGGACGACGGGACCGTTACGAGGACGGGAAGGGGAGGGAGGAGGGTGGGGGAGGGAATCCACTACGCATGCATGCACGCCGGGGTAGATACGTCGAATCTAATGGGAGGAGAAGGAAGAGGGGTAGGTGACAGGCCGGGGGGAGAGCCGCAGCGCCCGGCACAGCATTGCGTTGCGAGGGGGCTGTGAGGGGCTGGCGGAGAGAGCAGTACCACGGAAAGGGGAGGAGGAAGAGTTCGGGTGCGCGCGCGAGGCGTGCGACCGGATAGTCTAGTCCCCAGCTGGTTGAGGTGGTCGACAGGCAGCGAAGATGTCGGCAAGCGTCGCAGCCGTGGCCCGGGCCGCGACAGCCATATCCGGAATCGCTGCAGCTGACAGGAGCTCAGTCGGCTTCGCCGAGAGCAATGCGCTCCATGGCCAGCGACTTTCCACTTCCCTCCCCTCTCTCTCCCCATGCGGAAAGCCCCGCCGCTCCGTCATTGTGGCTATGGCTCCCAAGAAGAAGGTGAATCTCTCTCTCTCTCTCTCTCTCTCTCTCTCTCTCTCTCTCTCTCTCTCTCTCTCTCTCTCTCTCTCTTTCTCTTTTTCTTTTTTTTTTTCTCCCCCTCTCTCTTTTTTCCCCCCCCCCCCCCCCTCTCTCTCTCTCCCTCTCTCCCTCTCTCCCTCTCTCCCTCTCTCTCTCTCTCCCTCTCTCTCTCTCTCTCTCTCTCTCCCTCTCTCTTCCCCTCTCTCTCACGCGTGCGCGCGCCCACACACACACAAACACCTGCACTCACGCACTCTCTCTGTCTTTGTCTCCGTCTCCGCCTCTCTCTCTCTCGCGCGCTCCATCTGCGAGGCGTTTACATGTCCCTCCCTACGCACAAGGGCGTTCTACCTCACAGCAGCACAGCTATCCTCCGTGCGCGCATAGGACCGAATTTGATAAGCCGGTTTGTCTGTAAGTACACGTAATACGAAGGGGAAGAAGATGTGAGTTCAGGCACAAGTATGGCCTGAGCGAAGGTCTGTGCGCTTTCACTTCTGTTGATGGAAAGTTATGTTCAACTTGTTAATAGTTCGACGGTCTGGTGATTACGATGGCATGCTCACCCTGATCATGACTCTTTCCTGAATAAACTAAGGGCCAGCCCTGACTGGTGCTATGTTCATTCTATGAAGGCACGAACTTGGCCGCTGTTACGATCACGTTCATGTTTTCTAAGCATGCATATAGCACCACCGGGGGCTGACCCTTAGTCTTCAGTATGTCGTCAGACGCGAAGATCATCTAGCTATGTGTTCACCGCCGAGTCGCTGCAGACCGGCCGTTGGTTTTTATTTCGATGATCATTATATGCGTTGCATTACGTATTGTAAAAGCGAAAAAAAAAAGAGTATTGTAAAAGTAAAAAGAAAAGAAAAGGAAAAAAAAGAGTATTTTACAAGGAGAACCGAAAAGGGAGGCGTTCATACCACTTCCCCTAGTACGCAACGGCCAGTTAAAAAAAAAAGAAGAAAAAAAAAAGAACCGAATGCTCACAAAAGAAAGGGAAACCCGATGCTCTCAGTTAATATACACGTTAGAAACGAAGGGAAAAAAAAAAAAAAAAAGAAGGTAAATTTCTAGGCTATCAGTCGAGCCGCCCGGGTCACGGCCCGGCCGTGCAAGGACCAGGGAAGGTCCCAGAAAAGAAAAGAAAAAAAAGAAACGAAAAATCCGAAAAAAAAACTAATGTTATGCAGAAAAAAATAAACTGAACATCTTTTGCCTCAGTGTCACATCGAAATTCTTTACCAAATTTAAAATACAATTATTTATTTTATTTTATTATTATTTTTTTTTTGTCCTGGCTGGCCGGGCATGTTGTGCCGGGGGCCACTCTGGCAGCCTAGGTAAAATTTCAATCGTCGTGTGGTCAACTAGTTATTGTCCAAGAATAGAGCGTAATTTAAATAAAAAAACAATGCCATTTATATCAGCTTATGTATATACATATACGTAACTGATATATTTTCTCTCATGGAGGCCCTTTTTTCCCCCTTTTTTTTTTTCCTCCCCTTCCTACCCCGGCATTTTTCTCCCTAGCGGACCGCTTGCGCCCGTTGTGTGTACGTCAACTATTTATTGTCCAAAGATAGCGCGTATTTTTAAATAAAAAACAATGCCATTGATATCAGCTTACTTTTGTACAGATACATATATATATCGTCACAAAGATGTCATAGCGCAAAAGCGAAAAAAACAAGAAAAAATCAATTCATTATATACTTCTCCCTCTCTGCCTACGGTTTACCGGGCAGTTCTATTTGACGATATATATTGTCACACTGTAAATCAGAGCGCGAAGGCGAAAGAAAGCAAAAGAAGGAAAGGAAAAGAAGGAAGGAAGGAAGGAAAGCCCCACCTGTTCATCACCGCTTTTACGTACAAGGCCAGCCACGTGGATGACAGTTTGAGCGCTGGCTGCCCCCATCCCCGTGTGTCACAAGGACTCACTTGCACGCAGCCAAAAGGCATTTTATATGTACATGTCTTCTTCTCCCACTCTGCCTACGGTTTACCGGGCAGTTCTGTTTGACGATATGAGTCGGTGAAACTCCGACGAAACAGTTTGTCACAGCCCCTCGTTTGTTGTCCTCTTCTCTCTCTCTGCCTACGGTTTACCGGGCAGTTCTAATTGTGACGATATCTATCTATCTATCTATCTATCTAT